CGACCCACAGGTTGAGAACCGCTGCCCTAGAACCATTTCTGTCACTTTCCTTGGAAAATAACCAAGTCATTATTATTAACATTGAGTAATACCCACTTCATAAGTGTTTTCCCAGAGATAACCTCAACGCCCTGGCAGACATTGTCGCTACAGTTACAGACGCAACGATGAACCACTTCCCAGGCAGCAGGCAGGAGGCGAGATCAGACACCCAAACCTTCATCGCAGAGTTAAGATGCTCCCTTTGCACACGCGGTCAAGTTGTCAGAAAGGCACAGGCTGCCCACACAGGAGAGAGAAGTCCCTCTCAGCTTTCAGATTCCTAAGTGGGAAATGCCTCAGACGTGGAGTGATGAATATCTGAATTAAAATGTGGCTCCCTTGTCCAGCTGGGTGTGGCTCATCAATTGAGCATCAACCCAGGAACCAAGAGGTCACCGGTTCAATTCCCGGTCAGGGCACATGCCCGGTTGCCGGCTTGATCCCCAGTGTGGGGTGTACGGGAGGCAGCCAATCAATGGTTCTCTCTCATCATTGATGTTTCTATCTCTCCCTTTCCTTTCCTCTCTGAAATGAATAAAAAAATATATATATATATTAAAAATAAAAAGAGCAACTGGAAAGATAAAATGTACTCAGTTGATTTTTAAAACGTGGCTCCCTCCATTGGAACACCATCACTAGCCATACAGGCGGGACAGATGTTTCCTGTGGCAGCCAGAGGCACAGGGACATCCTGACCACTTGGGGGGGGGGGTCCTGTCACCCCGAACCCCATCATAGCCCTGCCTGGGGGCGTGTCTTATTGTCCCCGACAAACCTGCTGGCGCTCAGAAAGCTCCACAGCCTCAGTGCGCCTCTGACAACTCGGTGGCCGACAACGATGAGGGGGCTGCCCCTTCCCGAGCGCAGCCTTCGGGAACCGGCTGCGACCCCCCGAGTCCCTGAACAGCCTCTGCGAGTCCCTGGACCCCACGCCGAGGAAACCTGAGCGGAGCTGCTTCCAGAGCCAGCGAAGCCCGGCCCCGTTCGGGCCCTGGAACTCCGTTCCCCAGCGCCCCTCCCTTTGCCGCTTGGCCGGTATTCACGGTCAGGAATGAATGACCTGCTTCTGAGCCAGCGCCGGGCACGGCGAGGGAACTACGTTACCCAGAAGGCAGTGCGGAGGCGGCGGCGACCGACCAATGAGAGCTCAGACTGCGTGCAAGGCGTGGGGGCGGGGTTTGGATGTCCTTTAGTGACGCACACCCTGGGGGCGGGGCTTCAGGGGCCTGATAACGACACACAAAGCCTGGGGGCGGGGCTTCAGGGGCCTGATAGTGACGCCCGGCCTGGGGGCGGGGCTTCAGAGACCTGGTTAGTGGCGTAGACTCTACGTCATAGAGAGTTTCAGTGCGGTTGGGGCCTGCTCTTTGGTCCAGAGCGCCGTCGGAGTCCGCACTGAAGTGAATGGAAAGCGCGTGAAAAGCTCGGCGCCTCCACCCCTCCTGTGTGTCCTCTTCCTTATTTCTCTAGAAGTAAGACTTCCACTCAGCCCGCTGTCAGGCGGTTCTGTGTTTTAGTTGTAATTGTGCTGTGGTTCCGGGAGCCGCGTGTACCGGCATTCACCTCCGCCACCGTCTTGGTTCTGCAGAGCATGCGTATCCGCAAAGCCCCAAGATAGCTGACAGCTGTGAGTGGGAACGTGCCGGGCCTGGTGGGGCGGGTCTGAGAATAACAGGCCTCTAACCTCGGTGGCTTCCTGAACCGCCTCCCGAGAAACCTGGGCACGTCCCCTTTAAGAGCGCGCGGAGCCCAGCCTCCTTTCGGAGCCCGGAACTAACTCCGGTCCCAGAGCCCCTGACCCGGGCACTCGGCCTTTATCCGTCACTGGGAGTGACTTATGGACGGAGACCTGACAGGTGGCGGCGGCAGCGGAAACTACAATACCCAGAAGTCTGTTCGGTGTGCGAGGAGCAACTGAGCCAATGAAGGCTTAGGAGAGGCGCGCGGACTACGTGAGCATCATGCGCTGAAGGCGGGACTTCCGGCGTTTTTTTTTTCCCCCCCTGATTGTCATTTTGATGGGGTTTATCCCCGGGTCAGCGCCTCAGAGGGGAGGGGCGGGAGGAAGAGCCGGAGCTGAGGCGGCGGAGGCCCGG